TGCAGTTTTTCGGTGGATCGGAGATAAGTCCATCGCCGCCGGTACCAACGGCGAGTGGTAACAACGCTCACATGATGTACGTTTTCAACCGTAACGGTGTATGTCTTCTCTACAAAGAATGGAATCGTCCTCTTCATACTCTTAATCCTCAACAAGATCATAAGCTCATGTTTGGTCTTCTCTTCTCACTCAAATCTCTCACCGCAAAAATGGATCCAGTCAAGTTTAGTATCTCTTCCTTTAGATCCATTGATGATTCTGGAGTTTTTTTTTTTCCGATTCGATCTCGAATTTGTTCACTGTGAAAATCTGTGCATCGTTTTGAATGATTTCGATTGATTTGTATGATCTGTGTTGGGTTTTGGTGATTGAATTGAATTGGATGATGCTAAAATTAGGTTTTTTTGGTTTGTTTTGCAGTGCGGATAAAGGGAATTTAGGGGTTCCACAATTGCCAGGACAAGGATGTTCTTTCCATAGTTTTCGTACGAATACTTACAAGCTTAGCTTCATGGAGACTCCCTCTGGTATTAAGGTTAGTGCCGAATCTTGGTTTCGATATGAAACCATGGGTAATGATTTAGGGATTTTGAAATGATCTCGTTGTAAAATTCAACTCCAAAGTGATTATCTTAGTTTATACCGTAAGAACATGAAGACTTTTAGGAGATTCTATGGCTATGGAAAGTAGGAAGATGAGTTTGTAGTTGGCTTGAAGAGTACAATGCAAGTGTGTATTCAGACAAATGTCAAGCATATTGGCTTGTAGGAGAAATGAGAATAGTAAGTTTGTTTTCTCAGGGAAACAATCTTGAGCTGAGTTATTAAGTGTCAACAGTTTGAACATGGTTGAGGAGATGATTAATGAATGGTTATTGGCTGAAGAATGGTAACGTTAGGGTTTAGTCACTTATGTAATCAATAAGACAGAAAGAATGATATGATTGACGCTGAGATTGGTTGCATATTGTTCGTTATACGGCACTAAACATATAAATAGATAAAGTCTTGGGAGTTTTCAAGATGAGATATTAGCTTATTTGCAGACATGAGTATTAGTATTAGTTTCTGGAGTCGTTTGACCACAATTGCTAACCGTAATTCTAGCTAGATACTTAGCTTCTTGGTGAGTTGCATCGATTTGGTTTGTTCGAGCGTCAAACACTAAAACCACAACATCCTTAAAATTATTTTGCAGATTATCTTAGTAACTCATCCAAAGACTGGAGATTTACGTGAAGCGCTAAAGTACATCTACAGTTTATACGTTGAATACGTGGTGAAAAATCCTATATACAGCCCAGGATCTCCAATCAAGTAAGCTTCACACATATTGAATCATGAATAACATCGTATTGCCTCGATGAAACTCGGTTATTTTTCAGCAAATGACGTAAACACTGACTATGTTTCATTGGTCTTTTTTTTAAGGTCGGAGTTGTTCAACACTGCACTTGACCAGTATGTAAGGAGCATCTCATAGTGTGTGTGCATTACAGATTTGGCCATTGCAACTTCTCTCTGCTTCACATACTTTCTTCTGATT